GGATGTGGGATAGGGATCAAATATTTTTCAAAAAATACAACCTGAATAATATATATATATATATATTTATTTATTTATATATCTACATCATTGATGCTCCCCATCGAGTTTCAGGGGAAGCTTGTGACCCTAACTCTGTAGGTTTTACAAAATCCACCTTGAATGAGAATCGTGTAATGGGGATATAATGGTATGTTATATAGGTCTATGGATATGTCATCATATATAGCATATTATTATATAATTACAGCATATATAGATGAATGCATATAGGCACACAATTCATCCCAAATGATCACCGAATTGGTGAATTCAATAGCACCAAAACATGCAACTAAGAATTATTGGCTTATGGAAATTTATGTGGTTTTGTGGAGTTTCACCAGCAAAACTGAGGGTTGTAAATATTATCGAATTGAATAGTAAGAATATTATGGAATATCATGGTGATAAGGATTATGAACCTATCACTTTGTGGGTCAACCCAATTTTCAGACAAACCCACATGTTATTTTTGAATATTTTTGAATTATAATATGGTCACCAAGGATAGAATAAATTCAGGAAATTCAACTTCTATATGAATTGTACGGTCGATGTACCTCCAGAACAGATCAGATAGAAGATAATATGTAAAATGGGCTCCAGGGAAGACTAACATCACCTTCCGGAACCCAGAACTGAGACAGCTCTTGCAACAACAAATTGAAATATTCCTGAATATCTTCTATTTGAATTGGATTTGAAAGTGGTCTACTTCTATATGGTTTGGACTTCTATGTGTTTGGGATGGTTTGTTCACCTTCGAAACGGTTGTCCTGGAATTGGTTTTCCTCTTGTTTAGTGTCATCATGTAATCTTCAGAGTTGGATTTGGTATCGTGGACCTTGTGGCTCATGTATGAGGAGGTGGTATGTATATACAGGTATGTATGCATGTATACCAAGATAGTCAGAAGGTTGTACATATGTATATATATGTGTCCCATTTTAACCATATAACTTGTTCTGTTCAAACCGGAACCCTGGCATCCACAAACGTTTCTGTGAAGGAGGAAGTCCTGTGGAAAGAAACCATATAATATTGAGAAGGGGGAGCCCACTGGGAAAAAAACTAAGTTTACCGATCAAATAGAAGATAATGTCAAACATATTTTAAATGGGGGCTGCCCACTGAAAAAACGATGTAACTTTGCGGATCAGATAGAAGATAATCAGCCAAACATTTTTTCGACACTATGGGACCCTGGTTCGTCTTATTATGGTATTGGGATCTCAATTGTAAACTCAGTAGAAGGGTGTATGTATGTATGTATATATATACACATATGTACATGTTTTATTCAAGAGCACCCCCAACATCCGCCAACCCTTCTGTGAAGGGTTTCTGATATGTCATATAGCTTGCTGAAAAGCTCTCGCCAATCCTCGTCTCAAGGGTCCTATCTCCACTGGGAATCAATATGCGGAGGTGAAAGAACCTTATTAATTTTACGGTCAAATAGAAGATATTCCAAGGATAATAAATTTGAGGACCTTTGCCCAAACAAAAACGTTGGTACTTTGGACACAACGGGGCCTTGTTTTCCTGATGGTATTGGGATCTCGCAACTGTATAGTCAGTAGAAAGCTATATGCCTTTTTATTCATATATAATATATGGCAAAACATGATTTGTTCAAAGGGGAACCCAAGTTGGAGTAGCCCACAAGGAAAAAACATGTATTTTTACCGATCAAATAGAAGATAATGTCATTTTTTTTTGATTGGGGATGTACACTGAAAAAAACAATGTAATTTTACCGATTTTACCGATCAGATAGAAGATAATCAACCAACTATATGATTTTAACACCAGGGGACTGGTTCTTCTTATGGTATTGGGACCTCAACTGTATACCCAGTAGAAGGGTGTATACATATAACATTAACAAATATCTATGTGCCATTTTAAGCATATAAATATATAATATGGCAAGACATGGTTTGTTCAAAGGGGGTCCTCGGTTGGAGCAGTCCACCAGGAAAAAAAACATGTACTTTTACCGATCAAAAAAAAGATAATGTCACTTTTTTTTAATTGGGGATGTACACTGATAAAACCATGCAATTTTACCGATCAGATAGAAGATAATCAATCAAATGTATTAATTCGACACTATGGAACCTGGTTCTTCTTATGGTATTGGGACCTCAACTGTATACTCACTAGAAGGGTGTGCACATAGAACATTAACAAATATCTATATGCAATTTTAACCACTTATAAAATATGACAAGACATGGTTTGTTCAAAGGGGATCCTCGGTTGGGAGCAGCCCACCAGGAAACAAAAACATGTACTTTTACCGATCAAATAGAAGCTAATGTCATTGTTTTTTTGAATTGGGGATGTACACTGAAAAAAACAACGTAATTTTACCGATCAGATAGAAGATAATCAACCAACTATATGATTTCAACACCAGGGGACCTGGTTCTTCTTATGGTATTGCGACCTCAACTGTATACTCACTAGAAGGGTGTGCACATAGAACATTAACAAATATCTATATGCCATTTTAACCACATATAAGATATGGCAAGACATGGTTTTTTCAAAGGGGATCCTCGGTTGGGATTAGCCCACCAGGAAAAATAACATGTACTTTTACCGATCAAATAGAAGCTAATGTCAAAATATTTTGAATTGGGGATGAACACTCAAAAAAAAACAATGGAATTTTACCGATCAGATAGAAGATAATCAACCAACTATATGATTTCAACACCAGGGCCTGGTTCTTCTTATGGTATTAGGACTTCAACTGTATACTCACTAGAAGGGTGTGCACATAGAACATTAACAAATATCTATATGCCATTTTAACCACATATAAAATATGGCAAGACATGGTTCGTTCAAAGGGGAACCCGGGTTGGGAGTAGTCCAGCAAGGAAAAAACATGTACTTTTTACCGATCAAATAGAAGATAATGTCAAAAAAAATTGAATTGGGGATGTACACTGATAAAACCATGCAATTTTACCGATCAGATAGAAGATAATCAACCAAATATATGATTTTAACACCAGGGGACCTTATGGTATTATACCTCAACTGTATACTCACTAGAAGGGTGTGCACATAGAACATTAACAAATATCTATATGCCATTTTAACCACATATAAGATATGGCAAGACATGGTTTTTTCAAAGGGGATCCTCGGTTGGGAGTAGCCCAACAGGAAAAATAACATGTACTTTTACCGATCAAATAGAAGCTAATGTCAAAATATTTTGAATTGGGGATGTACACTGAAAAAAAAAACAACGTAATTTTACCGATCAGATAGAAGATAATCAACCAACTATATGATTTCAACACCAGGGGACCTGGTTCTTCTTATGGTATTGGGACCTCAACTGTATACTCACTAAAAGGGTGTGCACATAGAACATTAACAAATACCTATATGCCATTTTAAGCATATAAATATATAATATGGCAAGACATGGTTTGTTCAAAGGGGGTCCTCGGTTGGAGCAGTCCACCAGGAAAAAAAACATGTACTTTTACCGATCAAATAGAAGCTAATGTCAATATATTTTGAATTGGGGATGTACACTGAAAAAACAATGTAATTTTACCGATCAGATAGAAGATAATCAACAACCTATATGATTTCGACACCAGGGGACCTGGTTCTTCTTATGGTATTAGGACTTCAACTGTATACTCACTAGAAGGGTGTGCACATAGAACATTAACAAATATCTATATGCCATTTTAACCACATATAAAATATGGCAAGACATGGTTCGTTCAAAGGGGAACCCGGGTTGGGAGTAGTCCACCAAGGAAAAAACATGTACTTTTTACCGATCAAATAGAAGCTAATGTCAATATATTTTGAATTGGGGATGTACACTGAAAAAAAAAACAACGTAATTTTACCGATCAGATAGAAGATAATCAACCAACTATATGATTTCAACACCAGGGGACCTGGTTCTTCTTATGGTATTGGGACCTCAACTGTATACTCACTAAAAGGGTGTGCACATAGAACATTAACAAATACCTATATGCCATTTTAAGCATATAAATATATAATATGGCAAGACATGGTTTGTTCAAAGGGGGTCCTCGGTTTGAGCAGCCCACCAGAAAACAAAAACATGTACTTTTACCGATCAAATAGAAGATAATGTCAATATATTTTGAATTGGGGATGTACACTGAAAAAACAATGCAATTTTACCGATCAGATAGACGATAATCAACCAACTATATTATTTCGACATTATGGGGCACATATGAACTAGTAGCAGTGCCAGCCCTTTTTAATCCTTAAGGTTTGCCTGCATGCATCAGGCCTGTGGGAATAATGTTAACACGGCATTGCCCAAACGCAGATTCAGGGATTGGGGAAGGAATTAGTTGCAGCTTCAAGGGTTTACTGATCATATAGAAGATATTCTTTGATTTTTTTGGGTATAAACATTTTGGTAAAATTAATTCTGGGAATATCTTCTATTTGATTGGAGGATTGAACCATGAAGGAGTCATGATGGAACACCATTATCTTCTATATGATCTGTTTTTATTGGGATAACTTTTACATCGGCCCCAAAAAAACACACAAAAAACTGATGTTTTTTTTCGTTTTTTCCCAAGATGGTTCCAACAAGCCTTGTTGCAAAAATTCCCCCCCAAACCCGGCCAATGTGGAACTACAGTCAGTGCCAGAATTATAGAACGGAGCCAGGGGGACAAAAGTACGGTAAAATACCGTACCTTTGTCCTCCTCCGGGTTCCGATTCGGAGCGGAGTCGGGAAATTTAATTATAGAACGGGGAGGAGGACAAAGGTACGGTATTTTACCGTACTTTTGTCCTCCTGGCTCCGTTCTATAATTTCTGGCACTGACATGATATTTACTGCATATTTGTACATATACAATCTATAAAATGAAGATTTAATGAGGATTTAATGAGGATTTGATGAGGAAATGAAGATAAAATGTAGATAAAATTAAGATTTGATGAGGAAACGAGGATAAAATGAGGATAAAATGAAGATAAAATGAAGATAAAATGAGGATTTGATGAGGAAATGATGATAAAATAAAGATAAAATGAACATAAAATGAAGATTTAATCAGGATTTAATCAGGATTTAATGAGGATTTGATGAGAAAATGAAGATAAAATGAAGATAACATGAGGATTTGATGAGGTAAAACGCGGATAAAATGAGGATTTAATGGGGTTTGATGAGGAAATGAGGATAAAATGCAGATTTAATGAGGATTTAATGAGGATTTGATAAGGAAATGAAGATAAAATGATGATAAAAATGAGGATTTGATGAGATAACGAGGATAAAATGAGGATAACATGAGGATAATGGGAAATGTGGGAAAAATGGGGGAAAACAGAATTATAGAACAACAGCGCTCCGACAAGAATTATAGAACGACGAAAAAAGTTAGGAGTAAATTCAGATACGTTTTTTTTCTACCTTCCGAGGAAAACAGAATTATAGAACAACAGGGTACGGTAAATAACCGTACCTTCGTACTCCTCAACTTCCGTGCTATAATTCTGTTTTCCCCCATTTTCCCACATTTACCAGGTGATTTTCTTAGATTTCATGGTGATTTTATAAGATTTCATGGTGATTCTATGGGATTTCATGGTAATTTTATGGGATTTCACGGTGATTTTCTTAGATTTCATGGTGATTTTATAGGATTTCTGGGACCCCGGAAGAGGTTCTATAATTCTATAATTAATTTTTCCGTTCTATAATTAATTTTTCCGTTCGACGGAAAAATTAATTATAGAACGGGGCCCGGGGAAAATTAATTATAGAACGAAAATGGGAAATGTGAGAAAAATGGGGGAAAACAGAATTATAGAACAGCAGCGCTCCGACAAGAATTATAGAACGACGAAAAAAATTAGGAGGAAGATCAGATACATTTTTTTTCATACCTTCCGAGGAAAACAGAATTATAGAACAACAGGGTACGGTAAATAACCGTACCTTCGTCCTCCTCAACTTCCGTTCTATTTCCGGCACTGACCATACTCATACCGGCATTTGGGCATACATGCACTTCCCCGGAAGTAACCCAGAAAGTTTGGTCAAAATGGCAAGAAACACCGTAAATACCAATGAATTGTTGATGTTGAAAGGCAACTGCCATTTACAAACCATATAGAAAAAATACCCAAAAAATGTGGCTGGAAACCCCCCAAAAACCTGTTTGGGACAACTTTTGCAACACGCATTATCTTCTATGTGGTTGGTACTTTTTGGACCCCCAAAATGGCAACTTCTATATGAAATATTCGTGGAATATCTTCTATCCTTACGGTACGTACTATAATTGGTTCCCTTCTCATGGTCCACCAAGACAGCTGCCACCCCAACAGGTGCCCACACATCATCATCCCAGGGCACCTTGGGACCGGTCACCGTCGGTCCCCCATGTGTGGGAGAGAGAGGCCATTCTGGGTTTCTTGAATCGAATGATTCATTCAATGGAATTGGAAGGTTTTTGAGCAAACCGTGACATGAAATCCGGGTCCGAGATTTTGTAGCTTAAATGATTAAACTTGTGAATATATAGAGGAATCAGTTAAATCGTGTCAGCCTATCATGTTACCTGGGGATCTGGAGATCAATGAAGGTAGGGCCAGCTCTGCAATATTCAAAATCAATGGTCTTGCCTATTTGATTCATTACCTCTGCGGTCAAGACCAGCTGGAACAGCTCTGCAGTTCAAGACCATCCCTCACTCCTGAGTTTGATTTGACAATTACAATTTGAATGCCATTGGACTGGTATGGACCACTAAAAAGATGGACCACTCAGTATATTCAAGTGGGGAAACATATGAACCACCGCAAAAACCCCGGCAATACTAAATATGTATTGGATGGACATTGCTCTGTGGAATTTGATTGAACTTTTTAAAAGCACACGGTAAGCGATAGGACCTTCCCAAATTAGCGATACCCATTTTCAAGGTTAATGTCATTGTATATTTCTCCAATATCCCACCACAATTTTCCACCATTTTTTTCATTAGATATACAATGATATACCCCCCCCCAACGGGCCCCCGCATCCCCGGCTCCAACCAAGCGATGCCTTTGTATCCGTCATCTCGAAGTATAATCCTTGGGACGGGCAAGTCATGGATTCCCGGTATGGGATAGACCAGCAACTTTGATCACTATCATCTCGTCGGTTAATCATGTTTTGATCCAGAACCATATTATGAGGACAATGATGGGATTACTCTAACCAGCACAAATTGTGATGTGGTTGTGTGTAGCTGGATAGTAATGAGACTTAATTTTATATAGTTCGCTAAGTTGCTTGAAATACGGAGGTGAAGTGTTGGCTTCATGGCAGATATATCTACCTCAAGGGGGGTCACCGAGACGGGATGGCACGCAACAAGCGTCTACATTTTCCATTTGTGTAGGTGGTGCTTTACAATTCAGATTCAGGGTCTGGTGGCTTCTAATATTGAGATGTGTGTGTTCCCAATCTCGGTATACCCTGGCAGCAGGGAAACGGATGACATCCTGTGTGGGGATTTCATATTCCAGCCATCAACGAGCAAAAGAAAAAGTGATGCTAATTGGTGACCTATGCTAACAGGCCACTAATGGTGGGTACTTAGAGGGTGCTGGTCCCAATCTCTGTGTTTATTAAGTTGTGTCCTTACAGGAGAAATCCACCACCTCGCAGGGCATGATTTGGGAGTAGTGAGGTATTTTGGAAGTTGTAAGGGGTGTAATTGAGGTTACTTTAATTGATATAACCATGGATCCAATCCCTCATAATTATGGGTATATAGCCACTTAAAACTGGAACTTGATATGAGCAATCTAGGTTCACGGAAAGGACACCCACAAATTTGGGAAGGCCCCATCGCTATCCAAATGTTTGTACTAATTGTAAACTTGGGGGGTATCGCTTGCAGAAAACTGCTACATAAATTCACATCAGAAATCAATGTTCTTTTCAATGTGCGCATCGACAACATCGATATTCGGGAGGGCAGCATTCAGGCATGATGGATGTGCACTGCCGGCTTTGGGCAGTGAAAGGAGCTGATCTTGGAATTGAGTTGTAAATTTGCATTGTAAAAAGCCATCAAAGTTGAGGCAGCTGAGAATTGTAAAAAAGCATTGCATTGCAAAAAGCCATCGAAGTTGAGGCAGCTGAGAATTGTAAAATCGCATTGCATTGTAAAAAGCCATCGAAGTTGAGGCAGCTGAGAATTGTAAAATTGCATTGTAAAAACTGCATTGTAAAAAGCTCTCGAAGTTGAGACAATGAGAAGGCGCTGCAAAAATTGCATTGTAAAAAAATCAGTGTAACAGCAAACTTTCACATCAGTGAAGACAATTGTCTTTGAATTGCAATGCTGTCGCCGCCTTCATCTCCACGACCCCAGGTAACAAATTTTCCGTTCTTAGTGACTGCGCAAAAGGCCATCGTAGTGGAAGCAATGAATTGGATGTTCTTGAGCTGATCTTGAATGTCTTCGCTGTCACCGCCATGGGTGTAAGTGCCCCAAGAAACAACTGATCCATCTGCCAAGAGTGCAGCAAAAGCAAAATCATTCGACTGAATCTCAATCACTGCACAAGCCGGCTCCGTCAGTCGGACACCAACGAATCCAGGGTTGTCATTTTCTCCCCACCAGGCGATGCCTTTGTATCCGTCATCTCGAAGCATAATCGCAGCGAAAGAGGTCCTTGATGAACTCAAATCGACGACCTTGCCAAGCACATGAAGATCCTTCTTTGCATTGTTCCCAGCCAAGAAGCTGCCCCAACAATTCACCGAGCCATCAGCATGGATCGCAGCAAATGAATTGGATGTGGCCTGAATCTTCTGCACATTCCGGAGCGTTGCAAGATAATTTGCATAGGTCGCGGTGTCCAAACCTTCCTCAAAGACGCCCCAGGAAACCACAGTTCCAGCTAATAAAGCCGCAAAGGCATGATCGGAGGCTTGAATCTGCTGCACATTCCTGAGACGATCTTGAACTGCAGTGCTGTCACCACCACCATCGGCCTCGCCCCAAGTTACAACTGATCCATCTGCCAAAATGGCAGCAAATGCTGTAAAAGATCCAAAAATCTGCTGAACATTCTTCAATTGTCCTTGAACACGATTGGAGCTGCCACCAAATCTTGAATGTCCCCATGCAAAGGCTGATCCATCCTCCAAAATAGCAGCAAAAGCCCATCATGTCGATGCAATAGCCCGGACGGGACAATGAAAGTCTGGCACGGGATGTTCGTCAAAGCTAAAAAGGCCTCCCCATGCCACAACTGATCCATCTGCCAAAATTGCAGCAAAACCTTCAGCAGCACCGTGGATTTCCTTGACATTCTTGAGCTGGTCTTGGACCGCAGAGCTGTCACCACCATTTTCAGGTTTTCCCCATGTCACCACTGACCCATCTGCCAATATGGCAGCAAATGCATACCAACTGGCTGCAATTGATTGCACGTTCTTGAGCTGAGCTTGGACTGCAGAGCTGTCGCCACCTTCATCATGCTTTCCCCAAGTGATGACACCACTGCCCGGGCAATAAAGCGCAAATGCGCCTTCTGTGGCCGCCACCCTTGGCGGGATCACAATTCCTGTCAAATCAGGTCCAAGAGGACACACAGGTTGTGTAGGATCCACCATGCCTCCATCTGCAATCACAAGCTTCAAGAAGGATGTGTTGAAGTGCTCCTGTGCCAGCTCCCTCAACTCTCCACCTGTGATGCTATCCTCCACCTCAAACGTGTGACTGCGACCAGATGCCAGGGTTATGCTGATCTTTGTCAGCTGAGACTCCAGTGGCCTCTTCATTGCAGCACAGAAACTTGATGTCCCTGTGATGATGATATCACATTATGAAGATGTGCCGTGGCATGTGATGTCATGTGATATGACATTAATATTTGATGTGGCGTGCCGGACAG